ATTTTATTTCTCATATTGTTGTGTTTAACATTTTATTTCTTTCACAGGTATAAAGCTGTTCTGTTAGAAAATCTTATTTTATTTCATTCGTTTTAAAATAAACAAAAAGTACACAAAGTGCGTGCTCAAAGTAAGTACAGCACAATTAATCAACTTTTTCGACGAAGAAACAGAGTTAGTGTGTTTGTTGTGCGCGCCTTTGAGGAGAAGACTGCTTAATCTGTTTACTAATTCTTTTATGGATACCATACAAGTAGCTTTGAGTGACGTTACACTGAAGAGAACATTGCAATAGAGAGGTTCATATTAATTTCCTAAACTGTCGTCGAATAACCAAGCACGTCTATAAAGATGTCGACGTGATGTACTATGCTCTTGTTTCACTGTTCCTAACATCATTGTGTGACGACAAATGAAGTAATCCAAAATAGTTAATTATTCAACTGTTCGACAATTGTCCGCGAGTTATCACTGTTCGTACATGTGCATATCACTGATCAAAGGGAACAAAAATATTGCAAAAAATACATCAGAGAGAAGTCTGTTTTCGAGAAAAGGTTCACTGTTTCTCGACAAATTGTTGATCACCGCAGTGTGCAATCATAAGATAGATTTAGCAGAAGATGAATAAATATTTGATAATCATCGCGTTAGAGGTGGAGTCCTTACGATTACGAAAAGGCATAAACAAGCAAAAATTAATTAAAACAAAAAAATTTGTTTCTTAATGTGAACTGATGATTTAAAGTAGAATTAAATAATAAATACAAATAGACTATCATTACGAAATAACGACTATAATGGACGAAATATAATATTGAAACGAAAGCGTTTATTTTGTTAAACCGAGATGGAATATTTTTCGAAATGTTGCTGGACCATTCCACTTCCCTCTATAAAAACCAGACAATCTCATAATAAGACATTGATCAGTAGATCAATGAGTGCACATACTTCAGTAACATATTCCAATACATCTGTGGCATCACGTCTTTTTTTAAGAAAAATGAAAACCATCGTTCTTTTCCCTGATCAAATGGAAGCGTTTCTAATGGTTTACCATTAAAATCAAATTCAGCTAATATACATTTATTATTTCCTGTTAATAATGGACAGCTTGTATAACCATCATACTAGCCACAAAAAAATTAAACTCATAAACAATCACTGGCTTTACACTACGCAAATAATCCCGATTAAGAATTTTCTAGTGTAAGCGCAACTTTTTTAAATCACCACTAACTATATTTTATCGTGATTAAAAAAAGTGTGCATAACCGCAATAATCATGGTTGAAAAAATAATCGTGATTTAACCCTTGACAGCTGTTTGGGGGTCCAACCGGACCCACCTTAGATTTTGCGTTTCACTTCTCTATATTTGTTTTCATATGCCGGTAAAATTGCTGACATATTCACGGCTAGAGAGAGGATAAGCGCACAGTGAGCATTCAGGCGGAAATTTGAGCAGAATCGACAAGTGAGCTTTTTTGAATTCGAACAGTAGTAAATGTAGTCCTTGAAAAGCGCTATCGAATGGTATATAATGATCGACTAGTAATGAACTCCTTCGATGAGTAAGTTAACTTACGAACATTCCCAAAAAACACTGTCAGATATGACTGCGAAGATTCTTATCAGACGTCCAATATTACCCTATCCAAAGCACATATTCGGAATCAGCACAACCTATTGCATCTCCTGATAATAGAAGGTACTCCTTTTGCATCTTGTACGAAACGAAAAAAGGTCTAGTAGTCTAGATTACTACGGTCCGACATGAGACAACCTCAGTGCAGTAACAGCACTAAAAAGCGCTAAGCCTGAACAGACCTTCTAATTACATGAAAATGTTCCTCAGCCTATCGTGTATTTATGATGATCTCGTCGTTTTTTTCTAAGTCGAGTTATTGATTTTAAAAAAGCCCATAGGGTTTTCAAGATAATTCGCGTTTTTCTCCCCCATAAGAGCACTTTTTCCATAACATAAAGTCATATTCGGAATCACCGTGAAAAACTACGTCGAATGATGTATAGTTTGTTAGTTTTACAAATAAAACATTTTTTGACAAAAATTCAGGGCAAAGGTCTAAGGAACTTTTTGTCGAAAAACATTTTTTTCGAATTCGACCTTTTTTACTTCTGCTAATATCTGACACATAGTAAGACCATATTATGCTAATATAATCATTTTCTAACTCAAAAAATCAGATGTCCGCCTGCTCTATGGGAAAATGCCCACTGTGAAGCGGGGCTTTTGTTTGATGTATGACAAGTCTAAACCAAACAAATACCATCGAAACTTTCGATGCCTTTCCTAGTAGGTCCAACTGGACCCGGAAGCAGCTATAGAAGGTGAACAGTCGTCAAGAGTTAATAGTACCAATCATTAGTGTTCATATGCGAACGCCGCCATAATGATCCTTTTTCGATAGATCACAAATTTAATCGCGATTAAAGATAATCATCTTCCGAACATGATTGCTTAGTTATGCTTTTCAAAAGAATGGTAATTAAAGTAGCGGTACACTACTAGTTTAGTCACAATTAAAAATAATCGTAATTGTTTGCGTAGTGTAATCCCAGTGAACAATGCTTACTGAATATATCACCTACTTTCGGTACATTGGTTGTTTTTCCATCCATTAAATTTGATAAATTATCACATAGAATTTTGTTCGACGCAGCTATTGCTGCTGCAGTTTTACTTGTAGGCAAATTTGTACAATCTCCAATAGCGAATATATTTCGATATTTTTTATGCTGCAACGTTTCTTTCTCAACATCAACATAACCATTTGCATCAGCTATTGGAGCTTTTGCAATGACTTCACGTGGTTGCATCGGAGCACCAATATGAAGAAGATCGTACTAAACGAAATGAAATAGAGCGCATCACAATTTGAAAGGGCTCCTAATAATAAGCCCAAACGAATATGTGTAGAGAAGATCTTGAAGAGTAGAAATCAAATCAAAATTGTATAATAATTACGCACTTGGAATGTTTGAAATGTCCCTGGCTTGTCTAAATTTTCAAATATAGCCTCTTTTGTTTTTGACTTCACTTCCACTAGATTCAGTCGCGTATTCAACTGAATATTTCTGTACAGAAAAGATTGGCACAAAAGTGATTTTTATCAAGAAAAACGAGCATACCTCTTTTTAACAATATCCATTAACGCTGCTGCGTACTTTTTAACAGCGAATATAACTGGTAACGAGGTATTGTAAATAACGGTAGATTTTTCACGTACATTATTCTAAAAACAAAGTTCTTCATAATATTGAACTATTCCAACAGGAGCTGTTACATACTTTCCGAAATAAATCTTCAGCTAAGTACATGATTTTTTGCGGTGCCCCGGGACACTTGATTGTTGAATTCGGAAATGTAAATATGGCCGTTCCACCTTGAAAAGATTTTATTGAATCATAAACATTTCGTACATATTTTCTTGAATAAATGGTCACGACATGTTTTGAGTCATTTTCAAGTGCATCGATCGCACCTTTGATCTACAAAGTAGAAGACAATGTGTAGTAATTATTGTTTAACGATATCTCCTCTCTCTCTCTCTCTCTCTCTGACTCACTTTATCCAGTTTAATATCGATACCAGTTGCAACGATCAGATAATCATAGGATATCAGGAAAACAAATGAAAAAAAAAATTAGTCGAGTATAGTTTCGAGGAATAACTTCCCTACACTCTAAAAAAAAAGTATTTTAAAAAACCCAAAAAGGTTTTTTATTCCACAAAAATATTTAAACGTTTTGGTTCCATTCCGAAAAAACGAAAAAATGGTTTTTAATTGTTGATAAAACCTTTGAGTTTCTTACAATACGTTCCGTAGCGTTTTCGAGACAAAATAAAAAACTCAAAACGTATTTTTAGCCTTAAAAAGTTTCTCATTTTCGGAACGAAACCTAAAAAGATTTTTTAAAAACCATTTCTCAGAATAAATATTAAACCCAAGTCGTTTAATGCTTTCGCGTCTATAGAGTAGGGTTTTTATGGAAATGAAAAAACGATTTGAGTTTTATAAAATACTGTGTAGGGTTTTTGAATTATCAAAAGGTTTTTTTTCAGTTTTCCAAAAATCATCTAATATTTACTTTATGGCAAAAATCAAGATTCACCTTAAACAAGGAATCAATTATTTACTTTAGTTTTTTCAAATAGAAAGCGTATTTCATAATACGGAGGTTTTTTTTCTGGTTGAAAAAACCGAAAGTTAGAAGTGCGTTTTTTCTTCGAAACTATTCTACAGGCAGACTCTTTTTAGCACTACTGTTTCGAATTAAAATTGATCAAGCACGATATGTTAACATTCCTTTTTTTCTTCTTTTGTATGTTGTGTTTCAGATTTAACACAGAAAGCGTTTGAACTGAATTTTAGCATCAGTTTCGTTTTACTATACTGGACGATCGGTGTGAGATGAAAAACAGTTTGTCAAATAAGCTTTTCAAGAATGAAGTTATATAGAACTAGAAAAACGCATGAAAGTGTTTTAAAAAACGGTTAACTGGTATAACCATTTGGACCATATCATAACCGTTTCAACGTTTTTCACAGCTGAAAATACCCTTATTGGTTTTTTAAAACGCGGTTAACCGTATTTTAAAACTCCAGAATCAGTTTTTCGGTCACAAAATGGAAATGGACAAATAGTTATGATATATTTCAAATGGTTATACCGTTTAAACGTTTTTTAAAATACCTTTCTTTTAGAGTGTAGTGAATGTACTTGCATGCACGTACTTGGTCAAGTACCCTCGCAAATTTTGTCCAACTTTCTTGCGCTTGTTTGCAGGTAAATCAAGTACTTGCTAAGAAAATTAAGTACTTGAATAACTTTATCTTCTTGTCAAGCCTTTGCCCTAGTAGCTCTCAAGTACCGGTTCAACAAGTAAATTAAAGTACCTGGCAAGTGTCTTCAGGCATTTATCAACTAGTATTTTTTGAAAATACCTGTCAAATGCTTGTCAAGTACCCGTGAAAATTTGCAAGTACATTGACTAGGGAATTGTCTTTAAAAATAAATACTTTTCCCCCATTGTCTAATTTCACTAAATTTTTTTCCGGTTCAAAACCAACTGCATCGGATTGAATCCAATGTGCATTTTGAGGTATACAATCTTTTTGTGGACGTTCAAGTTCATCAACTGTTTTTAAACCAGCGCCAGCTAGTGTCCATCCCGGTTGATAAACATGTACCTAGAACCAATAAAACAGATAAAAAAAAAACAGTTTATGCCGTTTCTTTAAAACTAATTGTACACATTCAAATCTCTGCTCCAAGATAGCCCGCCCCACTATGATTTAGCCGGAATACAATTTTAAATTCTTACATCATTTTTATCTATAATAGCAATTTGATTTTTCTCTAGTTTATTTGCAAATCTTGACGCACATGCTAAACCTCCGCATCCAGCACCCACAACAACTAGTTTATAATGATCACCAGATGTCGAAAATCGACGATATATTATTTTGTAGACTGTTTGCAACATTACTCAAATAAAATCTAAACTAAAAGTGTATATTGTTTAGACTCTCTGTCCAGATATGAAAGTAGCGTATGTGCATCAGAGAGAAGAAAAAAAATGCATCTTATTCTGTGTAAAACAGCTCATGCGTGTATATGAGACGAATGCTGAAGGTTCTGCATCCTTATTAATAAATTTAGAAATATACTACCTATTAATCTTCAGCGTACACTAAAATCAATTTTGTTTTCTCAATTTAGATTTGTATACAGAGCACAGATTATACACTAGAAGATAGTACCTTATGGGAAGTTTGATCTACAGACAGGGGTGGCATTACTAGGAATGTGTGAGGGGATGCAATATAGTGGCGCAGCCATCGGGTGGGCTCAGCTCACCCACTAAAAGTTTTACAATTCACACTCCTCTGCGCTAATGTCTATCAATTTGAAAAAATTTTGGGCAACACCCACCCACTAACAAAATCCTGGTTACGCTACTAACGTAATCCCCCCTCCTCCCAATCTTATTAGTACATTATACTTGAACAGTACATAGCTACTTGTTACAATACAGTGATTGAATAACAAGTACAATACACGACAGAAAAACAAGCCAAGTGAACGTCACTCACGGTACATACTATTGATAAGCGATCCAATCCCCAAAAGTCGGAAAGGTCGCGACAGCCCTGCCTGTAGAATTCTTCTAAGAGTGAGTTAAATTGTAAAATTGATTATTTCTTATAGTTGTCACATAGATTTTAATTGGGAAGAAAGGAGTAGAAAGTATCTATCATACAAAAAGCTACAAGTAAGATGAATGTATTCATTCACAGGCACCTTCGCTTGAAGGTTCTACTCCTCTTTCTTCCGGAGATATAGGAGTTTCTCACGATTCGATTTTTATGTCCGAACGAAAATACATTTTCATGAAAGACTTTGAGTGGTTCACATGTATTTCTGCGCCTTGAACATTTAAGTGTTTACTGAATTTCTTTCACATCACATCGTAGAGTGTATCATTCTGTGAGCCTTTACTGTAAAACCCACTCATTTGTTTTTTCTGTAAGAGAGACGCAACATGTAGTTTCTTGTATAAAGGGTCACCAAATGTGTCGCAATGTACAAAAGAATCTTACAAAATTTAGCAATTGTTTCTGTTGATGAACATCGAGAAGGCTCTCAAATGGGTTTTTAAGATCTCTCCTAATAAAAATCGACTAGTAGAATCGACTGAGAAAATTTCATGAGAGGCGAAAAGTTCTTTAGCAGTATACATATATAAAAATTACGCAGAATGAGCCTGAGAACCGAAAAAAACAGTCAGTATTCCTTCGGATGAGAACCAAAATGTTTTACACAAAAACCGCATGAAACTTTACGCACAATAAGCCTGAGACTTAAAAAATTCATCTGTAGTCTGCATGAGTGTTGAATAAATAAAAATACACGACTGGCTTTGTCCATAACCCATATTTTGGAGAGCCTTCCTTTTAAAGCGAAGGAAATAATTACAGGGTATATCATAATTATAGACCCCACATGTACATAGTAAAATGTTTATTTTATTGCAATAAGGAATGATATTGATCTGCTAGTGGTACGGCTGTGTAAGACTAATTACGTACTATCTGATGCCCTAGCATCTCTCTTTTATCTTTTGTTCTTTGAAGAAAAAAATGGAGAAAACTGGAAAATGTCTGGAACATCATTATAGACCTCCTAACGAAAAATCATATTTTCTCATCATCTAAAGTGTCCAAAACCTCCAGTTTTTATATTTCATTCTAATATTAACTATTGTCTACCTTTTCCATTGTATTTGGGGTTTTCTCAGGAATATTTTACTTCAAAAATGCATGATTCCCGCATTTATGAGACTTTCGTCATATGCTAGCCGAATTCTGTTAATAGATAATTTTTTATGCTCCATATCCCGTTAGAACTAAGAAAGTGGATGTCGTGTCTCGAAATAATACCAATAGCACTGAAATTGAAAATGATTTGGCTTAATGAAACAAGTAGATTCTCTTGTTCTTTAGTGATTCTTTCAGAAAACTTTCAATTACATGGTCAATTTTAACTGATAAATCAAATCCAATAGTATGGTTAGAAAGAGCACACCAAGTTGTACTTAAC